AAAAACAGTACATCCGCAGTGATGTTGCTCAGCTTATGAAGAACCCAAACATGTCTGCAAAATTATTTTGTAAATATATTTTTTTCACTCTGGATATTTAAGAATTTGAGGTATCTTTAATTTGTAGGCATAAAGGTCTTTTTGCCTCTTTACCAGGCCTGCTAACACTCTTAAGATAAAAGAATTTCCTTTCTCGAGAAAAACCTTATTGTTTCTTATCAAGTTCAACATCTAAGATGAGAAAGCTGGAGCATTATGGAACATGTCTGGAACATTGTGCCCTGCCATGTTTCTGAAATGGATTCCTGGGATCCTTCGAGAAGTGGCTGAATACGCCGTCATTAATCAAACTAACATGATGGGTCACGTTCATGTTCAATATCCCTATGGATAGTAATCAACTTTCATGTTTATACTATAGTAGCCCTTGAAATAATTTCTTCTTGTATCAACCACAAATGTTCCTTTGCTATTTACAAATGTGGTGTTTTTAAGCATAAAATGGACAAAGGTGATATTTTTTGGTCCAGTTGGTATTTTTTACAAGCACTGTATTTTACAGTGATATAACTGCTTATTTTATTGTCTCATAAGAAAGCTATGTTACAGTGCATAGCTTTCTTATGAGACAATAAAATAAGCAGCTATAACATGAATTTAAAACCATCCCTTCTGTCTTTTTAAACTCAATTTGAAAGAGCAATGGAATAATTTAAAGTTCTGTAATGCTGCTAAGCGGATGTTTTCTGCACTGTGTACCTCTGTATTTAAGAACCTTGTAATCCCTGCTTTATGCTGTCGGAAATCTTTAAAATCCTCTTTCATCACAGACCTATAATTGTAATTGCACTTCTTTTCATTCCTACAGACCCACCAATGAATTATGATTTTTAGTTTTTAAATGCTAGTACGTTTTCAGAGTTTTGTGATCTGCATAAATGTCATTGCATACATTTTAGAATTTCTCAAAGGGTAACAGTTTTACTTTTGCATTCATTAATTGCTGTATGTAAATCACTATTAATACTAGTTGAAATGAAGTCAATACTTCATAAATATTTAAGAAATGTAGAAATAGGATATGGGCTACTGTCTTAAAAATGCTGCATTGGGTAAAAGCTAGAAAATCCTGTACAAAAGCTGAGTAAATGTGTTCCTTAAACTTGGTAGTGAATTAGTATGTTGGTTTAATCAGAATCCAAACAGATCAGAAATCCAATTCTAATTCTTTTCATCCTACTGTACAGGTTTTAGTTATGTCAGTCATTAGACATCTTTAGTATCTTTAAAAAAACATAAATGTTCAGATCTACTAAAGATAGATACTAGTGTAAAGAAAAGTTAACTTTTTAAATTAGGAATTATATAGCCCTAGAAGACAACTTGAACTGCCTCCTTGGCTACTGCCCATAGACGGCATAAAGTATCCCTTTGACAACAGATGTACTGATGCTAGCCCTAAAAGAAGTAAGAGCCTATGTGAACAAGGACTGAGAGAAAGTATTAACAATGCAGAAAGGATTATGGCACTTGTGCACTCTGACAAGGCTGGTGAAAATGCTTATCGCCTTTGAACTTGGACAAACACAGCATTGATGTATACTTGTCACTTGTCAGCAGGCAGGACAGATTTGTTATGTCAACGGTGAACACTGACAAAACAGCAGTTTTACTGGTGGGCAGCAAATGTCAGCTGGAAAAGCTGGAAAGCTTCACAGTAATCAAGGATAGCTTCTCCATTCACTCATCAGCCGTAATCAGGATTTTGAGAGTCAAACTTTACAGCACCTACATGAATCTTTTTTCCACCTTAGGCAGAAATTGCCTAATGTGGCAGCATTTCTATGTCCAATCCTGAGTGCCTAATTCTTGCATTTATCACATCAAGGCTTGATTTTTTTAAACTTTCTGTGGGCTCCCTAACACTCTCATTTATAAATTGCAATATTTCCCAAACTCTGCAGTTTGACTTCTAACGAACACCAGACCTTGGCAGCATATCACTCCTACACCTAAGAATCTGCATTGGATGCCTATGAAATAACTTATTCAGTACACTATCTTATTACTGACCTTTAAGGCTTTAAGTAATCTGGCTCCATCATACATCTCTGAACTCCTCCATGTTTACACTCCCTCCCGAAGGCTACATTCAGCTGAGGCTTGTACTTTTCTCACTGTAACTAAGACTAAATCTCGGACTTTTGGAAACCATGTCTTTTCTGTTGCTACTGCATTGTTATGGAATGCCCTTCCTCTGACTCTGAGACAAATTATTTGATTCTTTTCAAATCTCAATTTTCTAGGGCCTGTGTCTGAGTGCCCTGCATTTTATCCTGTATGTTCTTGTTTGGTTTTCTTCTTTTACATTTTCTTTTCATTTTATTACCATGTACACTGTCCTTGGGTTTGTAAAGGTGCTTTATAAATAAAAGTTGTTATTATTATTATTTTGGTAATTTATCTCATAAACACTGAAACATCCTTTACGTGCAGTGCAAAGTGGGTTAACACGCACTAGTTTTTATAGATAATTGAGTAAATAACTGTCTTTGTATAGTACTTTTTTTAGTGATTTGTGTGCTCAGGCATACCACACTTCTTTCCAGTTTAATAACATTCTTGGCAACCTCTTTGGCATTAATTTTGGTTTAAGACTCCAAATCTGTGCAGGGGCAGCTTGCTTTGTCTTCACATATTAAATACCAATTCTAAATTTAATTGTAAGCCTAGACATTATGGCGAGCTAATTGGTATGACTCATCTTGTAGAATGGCAGATGAAAACTATTATAATGAAGATGTTCTTAGTAAAAAATATATATATACAATGGGAAGAAATTTCCATTCTTCCCCTTACATTTCTTTCTGTGTAGTGTATAACCATTTTGAAAAAAGCTGTTTTAGGACTTAATAAAATCCATCTATTCATTGTCTAACCACTTTATCCAATTCAGGGTTTGCGGGAGAGCTGGAGCCTATCCCAGCAAGCAACACAACAGGCACAAGGCAGGATGCAGCCTGGATGGGATGCCACTTAAAAAAATTATACATAACATTTTTGGACTTTTAATTGACATGTAGTGGCTCAAATACATTGCCTCTTTTTGAAAAACATCCAGCCCTGCTAGCCAGTTGGTCCTGTATAGTATTTTATTGATATTTATTTTACCAGAGGATGACATTATAAATCTCCCTTTCATTTCCCAGGAGTGATAATAGTTTGCTCATCTTAGATTTATGCTTTTTTAAATTAAGGATGACCTTTGCTATCCTATTCTGACTTACCCTGTATAGACTCAAAAACCTGACTGCAAGAAAACAAAGAATAAACATCAATATTTTACCAGTGTCAGTGAGTGCATGCTGTGCTATAGACCATTATCTACAAAATACTTTCTGCTTCAAATCTCTACAATACATTTGAAGTATTTTTCAAATTACAATAAACAGCTGTCTGAAAGAAACCAAATTCTAGACAGTGTGGTGTTTTCATTTAAATTGAGATCTTGAGATGCACTGTACTTACATTAAATGTGTGGGTTTTCTTAGCACTTGGTACAATTATTTTAAGACACAGAATGAATAATCAGAGAAGCCATCTTGTAGATAGACCTTCACGAGTATATATTTTTGCACTGTGAAAATGCTTGTTTCGGGTTACTGTTTTTTTTACCTTGGCACAGTGAAGAATCTTAAACAGTTTCTAAGTAATATATTATTACTAAAACATTTCTAAATGCCTTTTCTATTTTTATTGCCTTTTTCTTCATTTTTTTAATTGTATGAATTCACTTTGAATTCATACAATTAAAAAACGTTTGTGTGTAGGAGAATAAACGCATTGGAAATGATATGTCATCTTTAGTAGCATGTCTGCACTGACAAACTGCTGACTCAATACTCTGGGCATCTACACTAAAGGAAGCAGTGAATTATCAAATGTCATTTTGTTGAAAGTATGTCTAATATAATGTCTAGCTGAAATAATGGATTTGGGTTGTGTGTGAAATTCTGCAAACTGTAAACCAGCCCTGACCCTTGATTCATTTACTGTAGGTTAGGTTTTTGTGTCTGAATGTTCCAGTATAAATACTTATGTCTCAGTAGCACCACTACTCATTGCATCTTCTTTACTTGAATGGAATTTGCTTCTCAGGTTCCAGTGTGTCAGATAAATTTACACTCTTTTGGTTATACTGATTCTTCTGTTTGGCAGCAAAATCTGATTAAATAGACATTTGTTTTAATACCAACCAGTCTGCTTTCCCATTCTTTTCCATTACAGTGTTGTGAATGTTTTTTCCTCTTATTTTGAAGGAGCTGAGGGTTTTGTTACTTGGTAATGTTATTTTTTAAATTCTTCAGTTCACTGGGCATGTTCATACTCTCGGCTTGTAGAAACTGAAGTAATAAAGAGCCCTGCTTTTTTTTTCCAATCTCGTCTTCGGAAAGTCACGTAAACTTCGAGACAGTGAGGGCTGATCCAGGGAGAGCCAGAAGCTTCAGCCCCTGCCCCTGGAATGTTTTTATGTGAACATTTCATTTCTAACTTTCTTTAGTGAAATATAGATTAGCTCAGCAAAACTAGTAAGTGAATGAAACCTTATCTGATCAAGTGTTGTTTAAAGAAAATGGGTGCTTTTGGAATTTCACAGGACAGATGACTTTTTCTGATGTCAAAACTTGCTCTTCACCTTTGTGGGATCTTTCCTACAAAACTTTACTGTATTGGCTTTCTCAAGTTAATTCCCAAAACATAGAAGCGAAATTATTTTGTTCAGCACAATACTGTTAGAATACAATTTAATACCCTACAATTAGCCTTAGTTCTCACCCTGTTGTTAGCTGCTAGCTCTTAGTTTTAATTGTAACATTTATGCTAGCTTTAACTCTCACACTAGCCCTAGGGAGAAAGACTGCAACAAAGGTTGCCTCTCCACATTGTTTTCTAGTTAAGGTTTATGATATCAATTAACGCACTCGGTTTTTAATTTTCAGGATATTCTATGTGTCTCATGATTCCCAGGACCTAAAAATCTTCAGCTACATTGCACGAGATGGTCAAAGTAACGTGTTCCGCTGCAATGTTTTCAAGTCTAAGAAAAAGGTAAGGTAAAATATTTTTCAAAAGGCTGTTTTTCAATGCTGTGTAAACAAATCAGTTTTGTTGTTCTTTTTGGATATCCTGCTTGAAACGGAAATTTGCCCTCTTGTGGTTATTCTTGCATAGTTGAAACAATGTCATGATCTCTTCCATAAGCCTCTTTTTTTCCCATGTGCCCTATGCTGCTTGGTTGGTTTTCTGATCTTCTGCCAGAGGCTTTTTTCTAAGATCGTCTCTGGACTGTAGTGCCAAGCTGCAGCACAAATTTAGAAATTCTGGTTTTCTCAGGGCTTTGTTGTCCCTGAGAGCACTGGACAGGTCCTAGCACTTCTGGACAGAGATTCATTCATGTACATTCCAGAAACGTTTTTAGAAAAGTGTTTAGTATATGTAGGTTGCCAGCTTCTCCCTTTTCTTTCTAAATTTTAAATACATTAAGGTTTTGTATTTTTTGAATATAAGATGATAATGTCTGTGTTCTTAAACAACATATCTGTTATAAAACCTCTATCAGGAAATGACTAAGTTGAGAGGGGTGACCAATTTGTGATTAATTCAGGCCCTGACTCTGGTATCGAGGAGACTTCAATCATGCTGTTATTTCCTGTTGCAGAAACTGATAGATGTCATGTCACTAACTTAATATTTACTTTACCATAGTATCAGTTAATCTGTTCATAGCTTTCGCAGACACAGTATTAAGCACCTTTTCTCTCATAGTTTATTGCCAAACATAGAAAAGTTGGAATCAGCAGATAGAAGCAGGTAAATTTATGACATTGCAAAAGGTCCCTCTTACTGCTTATTTCCAGGAAAGGTAACACGTAAATAATGAGCATGAACTTACAGGACTCCTTTACATCTTCCCTGAGAGACTTCTACCACACAAAATGGGTTGTGGGAATAACATTAATTGTGGCGTCTTTAGCAGGGCATGTTACCATCACCTCAGAGAATTAATTAGAATGTTAATACTATTGTGGGACCTGGTCCTGTCAATTTCCTGATTTCTGAGTCTACATGTTACTTGGATATCATTAGCAATTTAAGGAAGAAAAAGAAGGAATGTGAAGGTTACTTGCTGCCACATTTGCAGCGTTAATAGTGGTTGAAGTGTAACTGGCAACAGCTGAAAGAAGTGTCATTAGAATTCTATCACCAAGATAGAGTCCAATGAAAATTAGTGGACAGTGAGGGCTGTTCATTACTCATCTACATTAGTCTGGAGAGATAAAATAGATTAAGAATAAAGAAAAACAGATTAAAGAAAATTACTTCATAATTTAAGCCTCTTTATTAGTCTCATAATTTCTGAAGGAAATGTCTAGCCTGTGAGCAATCATGATGTTTCTTTTATTGCCTATGCTGATGATATGTGGTGTAGTTGTGAAGCATCTAACTTATGTGCTTGACTGGTGGAATTTATGGTATTTTCGATTAAACCTGACTATAGTATTTTTAAGTGTATACTGAGAAGCATTAAAATGCAACATAAGTCTGTCTCACTGTATATATATATATGTACACTTTCTCTATGTATACTTCACACACCTATTTAGTTGATACATAGTATGTGGAGAAAGTAGTTACAGAAGCATAGCTACCTGGACAAGAAATTGAAAAAGAAGCAGCTCACAAGCACCCTTAGAGAGAACCCCACTGAGTTTTTTTTTTTTAATGCATTTGAAGTTGCTCTAGTTGAATCCAGTCTACAAAGAGCTTATATTCATGAGGAATTGTTCATTTGTGGCAAGTATGTTCCCGAATTTAATGAGTAATTAATTAAACCAGATGCAAATGAGAGGGAACAGGTGTTTTGGCTCTATATTCTATTACAGTAAACTGGTAATATTCTCACTCAAAGTCTGAGAAAAAAAATAGGTACTCAGTACTATTCTAAAACTGGGACTGCTATAGTTAAAATGCTAATATGTGGAGCTGGACCACTTAATAGGTTTACTAAATACAGTACAACAGAATATATGCTGAGAGGCCTTAAAAATGCAAAAAATACTATGCACTCAAATGCGTATTTTTTGCATTTTTAATTCCTCTCAGTATATGACCCACAGGTAAATATAATTGCACAGTATAGCATTGACATTTAATTCTGCTGTTTTTCCCTTCAGTAGACACGAGAGATTTCTGTTATTCATATTGATTGTGACACATCAAATATATTACCAGAACAAGGCAATCGAGATGGAAATAGCATTACAACCCATAGGAGTAAATTGCTCTTTGGATTTTCATAGCCTCTACTGGTTCATTTAACAAAGGCACATAAGTAATCATTGAAGTTCAGCATTTCGATACCATTCAGAGTAATTAGAAAATTCTGGGCCTAGTTTTCTTCTAATCTACTGTATATAACAGCTCATGGATACTTTACATTCTTTAGATTTACCTTTGATGTATTTAGCAATTGTTTTAAAATTTAGTATTAAAATCCTGTACTGTCTCAGTGTACTATATTCTGTTCAATAAGAGTATTCTTGATATTCTGGTACATAAGCAAATTATAACTTTAAATAGTTAATATTTAGAATTCTTACCTTTTTTTGTTTTTTATTTTTAGTTCTTTAACTTTGTAATGAGACAGTGAATAATGATATAATAATTATAATTAATAATTGCTTACACTTATATAGCGCTTTTCTGGACACTCCACTCAAAGCGCTTTACAGGTAATGGGGACTCCCCTCCACCACCACCAATGTGCAGCATCCACCTGCATGTAAGAGCAGTGGGATATGTCTCTAAGAAGTTTTGAATGGTTTATTTGGTAATTGACATCTTATAAAGACAAATTTATCATGAGGCGGCAGTTATTTAAGTGTTCTTTAGTGCTGTGCTGTATCCCCTTGGGTGTTCATAAGCTTTTGACTTTGCTGTGGAGAGATAGGAAGTCAAGAAGGAAGTATTCTCTGAAGATAATTATGAGCTTCAAATTGATTAGCAGCTGAAGTTTTCCTTTAGTGTTAATTAATTGATTCATCTTGTGACCTTTAGTCATGAGATAGATGTATTCTTCTGTAATAATTCAGGCAGTTTTTCCTTTCCATAATAGTATGTGCTGAGGGCTGTGTCATGAAAATTCAAAGTAAAACCCCTTTATGAAAATGACGATGGAGAATAAGGTGAAGATAAGGTCTGCTGGATCCTTTTAATCTCAAGTAAAATACCAATAGAGAAGGCTCCATCAGTTGTCAAGTGGGATACCCTGGGTCCTGTACTTTTTTGTAAATTACATTTGTTGAGGTCTGATATCCAAGTTAAATGTTTACCATAACCCGAAAACAAATTTGCATTCCGTTGATGTGCTTAACCATATGGTGTGATAGAAAGCCCAGCGCTGTCTTAGGAAAAACTGTAACCATCTGCAAGGGATCTTAATTTTTTTCAATGTCAAATTGTATACCTGTCTTCTGACAAAAAAAAAGATTTACTCAAAATGACTCAGACATTTGTATGACTAAGCATCACCTACTGTACTTGAGGATTGAAGCTATTGATGATAGGCTCTTCTTTCTTCCATAGAGTCAAGCCATGAGAATTGTAAGAACAGTTGGCCAGGCCTTTGAGGTCTGTCACAAACTCAGTCTGCAGCACACCCAGCAGAATGCAGATGGCCAGGAGGATGGAGACAGTGAAAAGAACAGTGACGAATCGGATGTGCCAGGTACAGACTGACTAAATGATATATTCAGGTGAAAGAGTATGACCCAGAACTTAATTACAGTCTTAGAAATCTGTATTCTTGAAATGTACATCGTTTCTTACATGAGCCATTGAAAGATTAAAACAAAAAACCAATCCAGGTAATCAGTACATTTTGTTCTTTTAAAATTAAACTGTTTTCCTTCACTTTCTGTCATATTTAATATATCCAGCTCCTAAAACAAAAGTAAACTTCCCAAGTAAAGGTTTCATATGTAGCCTCTGTATTTACTTTAGACACCCTGTGTTTAAGCAGACAGGGGAGTGGGCGGGGCTAGCATTTACAATGCAATGCTGTCATTGGGATTTCTTTGGTGAAGGTTTGAGATTATCATTATCTCAGTTAAGACATTTAAAGCAATTGTAAACTAGGCTAGTATTCTATGTCTTCCTTCTAAATGTAGTTTACAGTAAACACCCACTCATATATTGTGACAGAGTAACATGTAAGGAGAAATCTAAAATGCCTGTTCCCAAGCATATGCAAAGAATTGTACATTTTTTGAAAATAAGATTGTTCCTCTGTTTATAGTACACCTTGCTTCTGTTTAAAGTACTTGTACCTTTTCCTCAAAATATAGTTGATATTGTAGGTCTAAATCAGCCTATGTTATGCTCTTATCAAAACTTCTTATATCTTATACATTGTTTCAAAGGATATCAAAGGATACATTGCTTCTTTTTCTTAATAGGTCAGTCCTTAAATTGTTGTTTTTTTTGTAGAGTGTTTGAATTAAGTACATATTTCTTTTAGCACGCCAGTTGACTGGTGCAGAGAAAACTGTGGCAGAGGAGACAGATATTGACGCAGAGGAAGTTCCCTTACCCGATAGCACAATTGATGAGTTTAACCGTGGGGTCACAGACCTGGATGAAGCCAAGAAGGAGCAAGATGTGGGAAAGGAGAAGAAGGTACCTTCTTTTTGGTGGAAATACATGATGAAAATGATCAAAATCATATAGGGGCGGTTGGTCATCAAGTAAAGGAATTAAATTAGCCATTTTCATAACTGGATGTTTCATAGCTTTGTTGGACACAGGATAAACAAAAAAGAAGTATCATGTGGAGTGTAAAGGGGTGTGGGTGTGTTGTCAGATGATGCTTCACGAATACTGAGCAAGACCACTGACCTTTAAGAACTAAACTAGCAAGATGTGCAAAATGTTCTTGTCTGAACTTTCAGTTAAATTGGTGTATGCACCCATCATAAAACTGATAACCCGCTGATTCTCTCAACTGTAGCCTGATGGGAATTGTTGGTAGATGTGTTCTTATATCAATCTTTTGCTCATCATTCATGCATAGAAATTAGTCATCATTTGTACGTGTCATTCAACAAGCTACAGTATACATCAGGAATAGACCCCATTTCCTCCCATAAATCTGAGAATCATAAAAAGTAGAATATGCTCTGTTGAATTCAGAGGTGATTAATGTTATATTGCTGCTAATATAGGGCAACTGAGAAATTTGAAACAATGAAAGCAGGAACTCTTGGAACAGAAATGGCCAACTGCCAAGGGACTTTTTTTTTTTATCAATTCCAGATGTAGATGAGGCAACCTATGCTTTTGGCATTCTATATAACATAAATAATCCAAACAAACACAGGGATCTAACCAAAATAGGTTCGAAACTTATTCCTGCCTGCCACAAAGAAAATAATTTGTTTGCCTGGTATTCCACATTTTTTTAAAAGACCGTGTAGATAGTGACGTGTGTTAGAATGCATAGATGGCCAATATGATGGATGCAGCAATTTTCAAGTGGATTTCCCCTAATGGCTTGTGCATAATTTCATCATATTTCTGTGATAGTACTAATTACTTTTTGCAGATGTGTTATTTTGCTTTTATTTCCCCAAATACATGAGCCCTCAGTAAACAATAAAACAACATGCAGGTGTATGGGGAAGGTGTGGAGAGAGTTGGCTTCTGTTGCAGATTTGTTTTCAGTCGAGGAAAATCCTTGATGGAGTTCCAAAGGCAAAGAGTGCGATTCAAATAAGAATCAGCATGCAGTGATTAAATTGTTTTCGTCCTAAGGGGAATCAGCTTTGTAAAAGATCCAGCAAAGTGGTTCTTCATATAAAAATTATTTCTCATCTGCAAGTTTCCTTTCCTGATGGTACCATGTTTTGCTAGCTAGCTCTAAGAGCATCAGTCAGATCAACACATAATCATTCATTTGCATCTAAGGTTACAAATATCCGGTCTTATCTTCATACATTTGCCTCCATAATAATTAGTTGTTTAACCTTTCCTTAGCACAAGAAGTCTAAACTTGCCAAGCTAATGTGTTGAGACTCAAGATCATGCCAATGAGATTACAAGGATAACAGAATCTTTTGGTTTTGGTGGGTAGCTGCGTCAGCACGTGTAGGCTGCAAAGGAACAAGTAATAAATTTATTCCATGCTGAAAAGAGAAGAAAGAAAACAGCGTTTCGGCTGTGGAGCCTTCTTCAGGTCTGAGGAAGACTGGGCAGTAAGCAAAGGTAATGTAGCAGGAGAACAAAAGCTGGGAGAGAGGAGGAGCGGGAGCAGGGGATAGGCAGAGTGGCCAATCAGGTAGTGTGAAGTCAGGATAGGTGAAGAGAGGTGTGAAATGAAATCTACAATGAAATGAGAGAATTTAGAAGGCAATTAGTCTGTCATTGAGATAAGGGGGAAGGTGTGATCCTAGCTGTAGGATAATTCTAATTTCTGTAGTCTTTCTGATGTGGGAGTTAGGAAAAACATTTTAGAGAACACAGAAGGAGTGATTAGTGTGATCATGGTTATCAGAAGTGAAATGAGCAACAATAAGCTTGGAGAAATCTTTAATCTTCACAGCCCTAACATGTTCTCTGAACTGGTCTCCGAGTCTCCTTCCTGTTTCTCCAATGTAGATGTCTGGGCATTTACTGCAAGAGATACAGTAAATAAGGTTACTGGAGCTACAAGATGTCATCTGAGTGATCTGGAATTGTCCTGAGGGGCCTTGAATGAGTGTGGTGTTGGATGTATACTTGCAGGTGATACAGCGAGCTCTGTTGCAATGGAGAGTGCCTGGTGTGAATGGTTGCTGAGGGTGGTCAAGGGAGCTGTGAATAAGAAGGTTACGCAGCTTAAGTGGTCGGCAATATGAGATGATGGGGCCGTCTTTTGGTTTCTCCTTGAATATATTTGGTTTGTCCTTGAATCTAACTATGCATATTGTAATAGAGGAAGATCTGAAGTGGTTGTAAAAACAAACATCAAAGAAAGAGGTGGTGGCCCTAGGATTTTATCAGCAGCAATATTTAAAAGATCCTTTTTTAATAAAGAGAGCTGGTAATTTGAAATGCCAGTTTCAGGAACAACCTGACACTTGACCTTGGGAAGACTAACAAATTCTCTATGATCTCACCAGAGATTACTTTAGGGTAATAGATTACCTCTTTGGCTAACTTGTGGCATTCTGGGACTTGATGGAGTGTCTCATTGTCCACATGGCATAATGTATCTTCTCCTCTTGCCTTTGGATAAACTTCCTGATTTATCTTTTAGAGCTGCAGAACTAATGAGGTGGATTGTAGGTAAGTCTTTTTTGATTGCAGGAAATGGAATTTGCAAATGCAAGGTAATGGTTAAAGTTGGAATTGAACACAGTATTGTTTGATAAAACTAGCACCTTGCCCACCTTTGGTGAGTTTTGAGTTTTTTGGTAAGAAAATGTAAGGGTGAACATTATTTAATTAATATTTTCCAGAGTTTTTTCAGTGTTTTCCTTAAATAAGCCATACTATGATATTATAATGTTTCATAACAATAATATATTTGCTTCAAGTATAGTATGTGAACCACTTTATCTACCACTAAAGTGTAGATAAAGCAGTACTGACCTGGGTGTTATAAATTGAGGGAGACCAGATAGTGAAAAACCAAAGTGGAGTTTAAAAGCAAGGGTTAAACTCCTAATCTTACAAACAGTGCAGTGTCACAGTGAATCTCTAATGACCATGTGTGACAAAATGACCTCCTCTTGTTTATTGCTGGTTTTGTGTTCTTAGTAGTTAGGACCTCAGTTTAATGTTGCATCAGAAAGGCAGTGCCTGTATTGATACTGTGACATTTTGTATAAAATGTGAATCCAGAGGAAAGTGTCTACTGGTCTACCAACATAGCTTACACTTGCTTTTTTAATAGAGGTCTCCCATTCCAAACCCATTGACCAAACCCAACCTTGCTAAATGCTGAGATGTGATGAGATCTGGCTGTAGGAAATAATGCAGCTGTCATTTTACAGGGAGTGAGACGGTGTCTTATAAAATAAATTTAAATCAGCTTGAAAACCTTTAAAACAAACTTTATAGGCTATGAATCAATAGACCTTTGGTAGCCATTTTTGGTTCCTTCAGCAATGTACAATATGTAGTCACTTCATTGCAGTGTGCCAAAGGCAAAAGCAACACACTTTATTATAAGAAAATATCATGCAATTATGCACACTTCAGTATGCCAGTTGTTGTAAATGCAAAGCTATATTTTGTCTTAAGGGAGGTAAGGAAACTAATGTCCATTCTGATATTAGAAAACTTTTATTTCTCAGTTGTCTGCTGCCTCCAGTGGCTTACAATTCATCTAATGAAATATAATTTGACAGTTTGGGGTTGGTGGTCAATAAAGCCATGTTCTTTTAATGTATTCTGTAGCATAGGAATGATTTTCCACATGATTTAAGATTCAGCAATGGTATTACATGAGTAAAGGGAAACAAAATCCTCTCATTATACAAACTAAACTGTTCTTTAACAAAACACCAGATAAATTCCTGTTTTCCCCCAGATGATTTATCTCTAACAAAAGGTAGTTTACAGCCCTTTCCAGTTTATTTTCCTCCAACAGACTTGTTTTCTTTTAAGCACACAGATGTTTTGTGGTGAACAGCACACAGTCTCACAACTCGGAGCTTTCTCTGACACACCCTTTTATTCCCAGAGACTATGGGAATAAGCTGTGACTATCAAGGCCAATGGTTCCTAGCCCTTGTCCAAAAGAATCAGTGTCACTGTTCCCCCCCAGAGTCACATTATTAATTGCAGGTAAATTGACTGGTAAATTAGATGAGTTTTAATTTTGTTTCAACTCAATATCCATCAATATCCAGTTTCAGAACAACTTTATTCAGGCGTTATCAGAAATGTAACCAATTAGACATAAGCAAAAAATTTTAAAAATTAGTGTGTGCGTATCAGTTCATCATGAAATAATCGCCATAAAGTATCACCGATACTATTAAATCAGGTCTCTTTTGATTTAATAGTAACAGAACTCAATGGGTATCCAAGTCTGTATGATAAATGTAGATTCATAGATTGTGAAAGAATAGTGCCTGACACAATACTATATAACTGGTTTCATCTAGGAATTTAATTTAATGGAACCAACGTAGGACTGCTTCAAAAGTTTTTAAGGTCTAAAAATACTAGCAGTATGAGCACAAATACAAGCTTATGTATAATTAGAACAGTGCTGCACATCCTTGTTTATCAATACATTCTTTGCTTTATGCCACAATGTGATTTGCTTTCAAAATGAACCAATGCTCCCATAGTTGTTTAAACCTTTATATTTTCAGTAAATCTGTATAGCACAATACATTTGCATACACTACATTGCCTTCATTTTGCATTGTTACTGTTTTTACTGTACAATGTTTTTTTTCCCCCAGAAACTTCTAAATGTTACTGAGACCTAATTTAAACAGACAAATGTAAAATAACAATTTGTTTGTGTATGTTGATCTATAGTTGTATAAAAGCTTTGGAAAACTGTACTTGTGTAATGTGCTCTCCAGCAGAAGAAAACGTTTTTTCAAGTGTTACACCTTAGTCAGCTACAAGCAATTTTATTTGCATTTCAAATGAGAAAACCTAGATTCAATACCAGA